AACTTCAGGATGACAGTAGTGTATTGAAATCATCCATCTTTGCATTATTACCTCTCTGACCTTTCATGTCTATTATGTTATGAAATGGAAATCTACAATGTTTTGTGCATGAACATTTACAATTGTTGTATCTTCTTGATGAATTATTCCTGTTATCATTACATAGTATTTTATGTTTTCTGAATAGTTTTGCAGTTTATGGCATCACATACCAGAATTGCAGTGCAAGCATATTTTTAGCTTCTTCCTTGATTCATTTTCATTCTTGAGTTCTAGCCTGTCAGTGTCTTTACTAGTGAAGTGTTTCTTGACGACAGCACATTATTGAATCTTGTTTACTAATTTAGGTAGCAGGTCTGTTTCTATTTATTTACATTTAGTATTACTAAGAAATAATAATTCTTGTATTTTTAATTTTCTGATTGGTTGGATTATTGTATGCTTTTTATATTTTCCTTTATTAGAATTTGTGATTTGCTGGTTTGATTTGTTGGAGCTGATAGATTCCTTTCAGGGTCTCCTTTGTGTATCTTTTGATCCCACGATCCTGTAGTCTCATGGTTTTCCCGTGTGCTTAGTATTTTTTAAATACCTCCTGCATTGGTGGATTAGTTTTCATGATGTTTGTGTTTTTCTGAACTGTTCTTATTTCTCCATCAAACTTTTCTTAAATATAGCAATGCTATCCGGCAGCTATTGACTTTCCTAGCTTGAAATATAGCATTCCTTAGTCTCCTGGCTGTTAGAATTATTAGTGGAAAACATTGCTGTTATTCTGATGTGTTTATCTTAGTTGGTATTTTTCTCTTTCACATAAAATTATAGACTTAACAAGTTAGCACATCATCCTTGCACAGAGGGCATTTCAATTTCAAATATATATGCTGACAAAGCCATCACCTAAATGTCCATTCCTTATTTGTAGTCTAGTACATTAATATTCAACCCTACTGTCTTGGAGAATTCACTAATTGCTTAAATAACTGTGGGATTTCTTTAGGATTCTGTATATAGCTAATTGTGTCATCAAAGGCTGAAGATAGCGGTACTTCCATTTCTTTATCTCCAATTCATCTGACTTTTCTTTCTCATACCATACTTCAACTAGTTACTTCAAGTAAAATTTTGAAAGTTGAAAAACTATACATATTTGCTTCATTCTCAGTCTACAAAGAAAGCACTCATTTTCATGATTAGCCATAAGGTAACTAACAACAACATCAACACACACACACACACACACACACACACACACACACACACACACTCGCACCAAATTAGCGAATTTTTTGTGTTGTTAGTTTGCATAAAAACCTTAAAATAATGAAGACACTTTTTTCTAAATATATGTCTTTATCTACTGTGATGTCTTTTCCTGTTATCATTTGTTGATATAATCAATTTCATAAAATAGTGAAATTTGAACTGGTATATTACTAAGGTGAAACTAATTTTCTCACCATGTTATCTGTTATGCAGTTAGATTTCACTTCCCATACTTCTATGCTGGTGAGCAATATTAGATAGGAATTGTTTTGTCAGTCAGAACTTAATATCAATGTGATGCTAGACTCGTGAGTTTTGATGTATTCAAATTTCTATTTTCTGAGAGAGTTAGTACAAAATTAGTATTTTCCCTTTCTTAAATATTTGCAATGGGGCTAGAAATATAATTTTGTGATTAAGAGCATTTATTGCTCTTGAAGAGAATCTGGGTTCACGTCTCAGAACCTGAATGGGGGCCTGCAGTCATCTGAAACTCTCTTCTGACTCTATGGGCATTAACCACAGAAGCTGTGTACACCTATGTGCAGGCAAAACACCCATACAGATCAAATAGTCTTATTAAACAATTTTAAATATGTCTGGGAGACTATAACAGGCAAGCCATTTGGTCTTGCAATTTTCTTCTTAGATGATCCAAATTTCTATACTGGATTATGGAGCTAACATCATTAAGCTGTTTTGTGAATTTTGATAGTTTGTGGCTCTCAAGAATCTGTACAAATTATCTTTGTTCATTGCATACTGTTGTTAATACTTTTTAATGCCCTCATCCTTTGAATTTCTGTAACATTTATACTGATAACCATAATCCTTACATTTGTTTTTGGAGTGTTCTCAGGAGTTTACATTCCTGTATATTTGTATATGGGTATATGAACCCATGTGCGGAGGCCAGAGGCCAACCTCAGGTGTCATTAGTCAGAAGTGATTGGATTTTTTTTTTTTTTGAGACTAGGTCTTTCACTGAGACTTCAGGCCCAGAGTGGGCGAGGCTAACTAACAGGTGAGTCCCAGTGCTGCTGTCTCTGCCTCCCAGCACTGATCACAAATATGTACAATTGCACCTGGCTTTTTATGTGGGTGCTGGGGACAGAACTCGGGACTACATGCAGCACGCACTTTAGACTGAGCCACTACCCTAATCTCTTTAATTCTTACTGGTAATTTATATTCCTCCTGTTCCCCTTTATCCTCCTTTTCCTCTCCCTGCTGCCCTTCCTTCTTTATTCCCCATCCGTCTAGTTAGACGGTTTGTTATTTATATGCCTATGGTTTCAAAGACTCATTTTTGTTTCATTTTTCTTTTTCTATCCTTTTTTTTCTAACTTTAGTTTACTTAAACAAACTTCTAATTTTTCAAAAATGGGTCTTTGCATCATTGGATTCCCTCCCCTTTTTGTAGTGTAAATAGCTCCTAATTTCATTTTGGATACACAATAAACTTTGTATATTTTCAACCTCTGTGTTTTTTTAAGGATTTATTTTATGTATATGATTGTCTATCTACCTGTATACCTGCATGCCAGAAGAAGACATCAGATTCCATTCTAAATGACTGTCAACCACCATGTGGTTGTTGGGATTTGAACTCGGGACCTCTGGAGGAACTGCTAACGCTCTTAATCGCTGAGCCATCTCTCCAACCCCTCTTTTTGTGGTTTTGAGGGTCAAATGCAGGGACTTATACATGCCATGCAACTGTTCCACTACTATACCTCATTGATAACCCTCAAGACCTTTTTAATTGAAATTTGTTTTATGTCCCTGAATCCAATCTGTCTGCAGGAATGTTCCATGTATACATTTTAGTTGTATATTCTTTTATTGTTGAGTCACATGTGTTATTTAGGCTAAATTGGGAGGTAGTACTATTCAAATGGTTTATAGCTATACTAATTTTCTACTGCATCATCAATTACAGAGAGACATTTGAATTCTCTAATTAAAATTGTTAGATGGGTTTAGTGATGACTGATTATAGTCTAAGCTACTTGATGGGCTGAGACAGGAGGAAAAGGAAATTGGGGACACCGTAGACAAGATATCAACACCTCATCTTTAAAAACAATATCTGCAGTAACAGTATTGTTATAATATATAATATATAGCTACATTTGTATCTGTGGAAATTGATATTCATTAGATAGATACACTAGTTCTTAACAGTGTTATGCCTTGACAAAAATAATACTAAAGCTCATTAAAATTTTGTCTGATACACTGTTCATAACTTTCCCTTAGTCCTCATTTCTGGTTGCCATCATTGCCAAGGAATATGTACTTGGTAGGCTGCATCCTTACCTTGTTTTTTGGTTAGTTTTGGCCAATAACAATGAAACATGGAACATAAGAGATTTGAGTGCTTAATCTTTTCAGTTTTTTCCCCTGCTTGATTGTGGGGTAACAGCTGCTATGTTTCTCTGTGAACGTAACCACTGGTGTGGGACATTAAGTTAGGTGGCTCTTTCCTACCAGTACAGATCCCACTTTTCTCTAACAATTATTGTTTACACTTACCATCAGGTTTAAGAGTGATACTGCCTCTTGTCATCTGTGGGTACTTAACCAGCCCACTCTGGGATCCAGGAGTCTTGTTCACACCTTTTTATGTGCCCCTGTCATTGAGTATTGCCTCAGTCCCACTAGGTCTGTTAGGAGATTCGAACACATTAACAGACTTGGGTGATTTATTAATAGAGGTTATTTTGTTCTTTTCATTCCACTTACTACATTCACATAAGTTGATTAATTAGCATTAGACATTTAAACAAACACAATAGACAACAGTGTATTTGGATCTTGACTGGAAGAAAACTGGTCATATGGTAACTAAATTGTTCTAACCGCAGTGCTAATAATGCTCAATATTCTCATCCTCAGGCAACAGATTCTTAAAATGAATGTGGAAAAGACTTTCATGATGCAGACTAGTCAAGTCACAGGCTATATATATAACACAGCATCCAGTAAAAAAGCATCAACACTCAGCATACAGCCGAGCTGCACAAATACAACATCCAGAGCCCTAGCCTATAGCGAGGATAAAGCTCATATTGTGTTTTGTCTCACTTCATCGAATGTCAGAAAAGAAGTTGTATATTAAGACAAGAGTTAGGACAGGTTCTGTATGAAGGGGACGCAGGACGAACTAGATATTCAGATTACTGGCTGCATTTGAACTCAAAATTCGAATGTGTTAGTTATCTCTTGGTTACACTGAAAAGCCTGAGGAGTCAATTTTAAAGAACACTTGAATAAGGAAAACGAACGGACCACGTATTTTACAAAACCGTAACTTTATTCAGATGCATTGCAAAAGGGGTAAAAGTTGCTGTGCCCGAGGGAAAAGTAACCTGACTTATTCAGTATCTCAGAACACGGGGTTCTCTTCTCTCACGACTTGTATGCAGAAGGCATCCTCCATCACAGAAACAGGGTGGACCAGCGGGGACAGGTGCGAGCCTCCTGGGAGTAGCGCTGACCTGGCCGGAAGCTGATTCCAGCTGTTCTCACACCGGCCTCACTTCGGTCTAAACCGAGAACTACCTTTCTGTACAGAGATGGCGCCCCGCGAAATCATAAAGGTAAACAACAACAACAAAAAAAGTCTGGGTTACTACCTGCCCAGACCGACAGGCTCTCGCGAGATCTCGGACAGTCCTACTAGTTTCGATGTAGACCTCGCGAGAGGATGGTGTCGGGGGCGGGGCCCGCCGTGGCGGGAATTTCGCCTGCTTCCGGTTTGGTCCGGGAAAGTTCCCGGTTCTGGATTCCGGTCTGCGGGTCTCCGGGACGGGAGCGTTCGCTGGGCCCGGGATCTTTCCGGCAGGGTGGCTCCCTCTGAACGCCGGACTGGAGCGTAGGGAGACGGCGGGTCTGCAGCGCCCGGAAACCCGGCTGAGGTGCGTGAGGGCCTCAGCCCCCACCTGTAGCCGGCAGGGATCGAGGACCGCGTTGGCAGCCTTGGTGGCTCTCACGTCTGGGGCCGGGACCCAGGAAGACGCCCGGATGCTTGTGGACCTTTTCCCTTCTCAGGTTTTTTAAGTTTGTTTCTCCCGTGTGCTAAGGGGACGTTTTGGGTTCCCGAGGGCGCCCCTTGCCTTTCAGCTTCTTCCTGTTTCTCTTCGGAGCCGTCCCGATAACTGTATGGAACCACGATGTCATTTCAGGGCATGATGTAAATAATGGATGGCGGTTCTGGCGTGTCGACTTTCCTGACGGACAGCTTAGAGCTAAAGCTGGGGACAGAATGGTGCAAACCCCCTTGCTTTTCTTGTGCTTTTGACAACAGAGAAGGCAGAGGTTTTTCCGGAGAATCCTATCTTGCCGGCGGCTCCCTGAAGCGGTAGGTAAAAGAGCCAGATCCCAACTGTGTTGTTTAATTGTCCATAAAGTCTAAATTTCGGTGCTCACCAAGCCTTGTTTGATAGCTAGTACCAGGAAGATTCCAGCCTATGTGTGTGCCCTGGCTGACTTTTGAGTATTTTCGGAGTACTTGTTTGGTAGGAGCGGGTAGCTGAATACCGACATTTAAGGGACTTAGACTGCTTTCTGAGCAGCCTAGGAGTTGGAATACCAGTTTTGAAATTGGTATTTCCTTTTAAGGACAGCACCCGTCCACGAGTTTTCAGGAGTTTGTAAGCAGGACGCAGCTGATTTTGCTGCTCCAGGTCTCTCCAGCCCTAGGTATCTGCATCCAGAGTCATAGCTTACATCGGTTGAATACATGTAATTGATTGCAGTAAAGCTGCTGATCTTGAATTATTTTGGTAATGTCTCCTGAAGCAATTTTATTAATGAAGGAAACCATTTTTGCTGGTGTTATGATTATACCCTCTTAACCGTAAAGCACATTGCACAATGCCATTCTTCAGTCATAATTCAGAATATTTGGTGATTTAGAAGCTCACCGTCTTGTTCAGAGGTAAAACGCTATGACCTAGGACCGCCGTGTATATTGCCCATAATCCTTTTAGACTTTTCCTTTTGAGTCGCATTGCTTTTCACCTATTTTAACACGTTAAGGTGTGAGATACAAGCACTTCCTGACGTACATGCGGTGCATAGTCTGGATTCAAATGATTGAGTCAGCATTTTCATTGCAGGTTAATTTTAAATCTTGATCCATTACCAACTAATTTTGAAGAGGATACAGTAGAACTATTTGGCTTCCAATGGGTTACCGAAACAGCATTAACAAATTCATGTCGAGAGCTCTTTCATTTATTCAGGTACATGTATGTCTATTTTTAAGAGTCTAGATGCTGTCTAGTTTTACATTGCTGGGTTTTCCCCCAATACTGATTACAAAAACATCGGGAACGTGCTCTTCTTCATCTTAACATTATTAACATAATAGTTTTAAAGAGTTTTTATGTTGGGGTTCAGAATCCTTGTGTGTGTGTGTGTGTGTGTGTGTGTGTGTGTGCACGTCTGAGTAATGCTAGAGATCAAATCCAGGCTATTATAAATATTAAGCAAGCATTCTACCACTGAGCTGTTTTTACATTAGATAAATATTTATATGCGTGTATAATATTCTATATATAACACATATGGTATAGGCATTGTTTTTGTTTTTAAGACAGGGTCTCAACTGTAACCAATGTGTAGCTTAGGTTGACCTGGAACTTATGGCAATACTCCTGGCTCAGCCTAATCCGTGCTGAAATTGCACGCATGAACCATCACACCTGGCCTCTGTTTTTTGACACCTTGTTTCAAAGACAAGCATTTAAAGATTTGAAATACATCTTGTGAGCCCTCATAAAAAACCTTCAGTGAATCTGTATTTTTAATTTTTTTCTTTTTAGTTTAAAATAGAAATCATATTTTGCCTGCTTTTTTGCATGTGTACATGCATGCTGGATGTCCGCGAAGTCCGAAGAGAGTATTGGATCCCCCATGGAATTGGACTATGTATGGTTGTTTGCAACCATAGGTGCTGGGAACCAAATGCATGTCCTCTGTGAGAGCGACAAGTGCTCTTAACTTTGAGCGATCTCTCCAGCTCTCTTATTTGAGAGAACAAGCCGAGCGATTTTTCTATAATTCTGCACATTGTAGTGAATGGGTCTTTATCCAAGACCATTTGAAGGCAAGTAGGAATGATGACATGGGATTACTATCAGGAATTAAAATGAGGCATCATATGGCTTTATATATACATTTTTCATTTATGTAATCATTTTCATTTGCTTTTATATAGCTGTGATTAAAGACAGTGGCCAGAAGCAACTTGGGGAGAAAAAGGGTTAATTAGCTTACTGTTTGCAGAATCTGAGAGGAAGCCAAGGCAGGAGCCTGAATGTAGGATGAAGCAATGACCACAGAAAAATGCTGCTTCTGACTTGTTTCAATGGCTTATTCAACCTGGCTTTTTATACCACCAAGGACTACCTGTCCAGGGATGGCACTATCCACAGTGAACTGGGATATCCCATACCATATGAACCTTTAATCAAGAAAATGCCCTACAGAGTTTCCTGTAGGCACTCTGGTAGAGGCATTTTCTCAAAGGAAATTCTTCTCCCCAGATAGCTATCTTGTATCAAGTTGACAAGGACAATAAGTCTTTTTATCTTCTGAACTATTTTATAGCTGTGTGGTACAATGTAACCTAAAACTTAACCCTAGAATGTTTGTTGTATCTTACCAAATTTCCTGAAGATAGAAATGAAAGTTGTGGTTTTGAAATAGTATTTGAGATCCATCTTCTATAGATATTTTTGTAAGTTTAGATAGTTAGATATTTGATCTTTAATAATTTACAATGCCTGAAACTGACCTTTTTAAAAAAAAATTTATTGATTCTTGTGAATTCACATCATGCATTCCCATCCCAGTTATCTCCCCGTCTCCTCAAATCTACCCTCTGCCTTTGCAACCTCCCCCCAAAACAAAACCAAATTTAAAAGAAAAACTAAAACCAAAAAAGAAAAAACAAAGCAAAATAAACAAAAAGAAGAATCTTTCATGGAAGCTTTTAATAAACATTCACAAAGTAAATTATAACATAATAATGCTATTCAGTAGTGTTAGAAATCTGATCCATGTAACTGCCATGTGCTTTACCTTATGCTAAAATTTACTCTTTCACATGTTTTAAAATCAGGCAGCAGCTATTCAACTTGGAATCCTTAGCGCAAGTCAGCTGTGATTTTGGTAAGTTTAATGTGTGCTTAATGACAAAAAAGAATCCCACTCTGTTACACTGACTTCTGTAGCGACTCTGATGTGTAATTGAGTTTCATAAAAACGTGAAGTGTTTCAGAGGCTCTCAACCTTTAGGTTACCACCCCTTTGGGGGTCACTTATCAGAGTCCTGAACACCAGATATTTACATTATGATTCATAACTGGAAAAATTACAGTTATGAAGTAGCAGCGAAATAATTTTATGGTTGGAAGTCGTCACAACATGAGGGAGGAACTGTACTAAAGCGTCACAGCATTAGGAAGGTTGAGAACCACAGTGTATTTGGTATTCTGAAAGAGAATGACTTAAATTTTGTTAAAGGTGAGATTTATAATATTTTTTCAATTATGTAGAATATAAGGTAAATCTGACTTGGGAAAACTTGAACTTTTTTGAGAGAACTATTCCTTTGGAGGTGAGGGGTGGGATGGGAAACATAAATACAAGATAAGAAGTAACAGACCTCCTAGGACTCTTGGTCATCTTCCTGCTTTCTATTTCCGTTTCCCTTTGGCATTTAATGGGTTGCTGATTTTAGTGGAGTGGTGCATGTAGGCTGTGAAGGAATTGAAGGGCAGTGTTCTTATTGAAGGCCGGCTGCTTCTCCTTGCAACAATTTTAGTGTGGTGTAATATTTGGAGTCTTGACTTTATGTTCAACTTAAGTTCTAGTCTCAGCTAATTGTATGTCTCTTATGTAACAATTTCTATCTTATTGATTGAGCTCTTGTAAAGTTTAAATGCCATATGCATGTTAAGTGTTTCTCAGTGTACATCAAATGCCTAACAGGTAGAGATCACCTGGAATATATTTTTTTGGTCAGATAGGTTCATTAATTTCCCAAAGCATTGTCTTGCTGATTTGGGCAAGATGTAGGGGTGATAGGACTTTATTCTGGATTGGATGCTGTTAAGGAGCAAAGGCAGTTGCATGAGACACAGGAAGGAAGGTTGGGAAGGGCTCTTACTATTTAAACTGGGATTAATAACATGAAGATAAAGATGTTGTTTGTGGCATTTGAGTGCATAGTGCATTATTTCTGTGTTCACACATGATTATAAAGGTTTGACTTGTCACTTTACCATAACCAGAGTCTTCTTACTTTTATTTTTAATTAAAGTTTTTTTATTTTCTAGAATCATAGCCTAGCTGTTTCTGGTAGTTGTTAATTGTTAGATTTGTCTTTGTTTTCATAGGATGTTAGTAGTAAATACAAATTATCTTTGCTGTTTTATCATTTAGTGAGACTGTTTCTTGCCTGACATGCAGAGTACTTACTGCCTGGTGTGAGGAATTCTTGTTCTGTCCCTTAGGTTCCCAGGTTTGCTTTCAGTTGTGGCAGAGTTGATCCATCTCAATTACATGAGCTATATGTATAATTACTGCTTATAACCTTGGTGACTGCTTTGTTGTCCATCATTGTTTTTTATTGATCTGTTTTTACTGCTTAGTGTTTATTCTGGTTCTATGAATATCTAGTGATGTTACCTTGTGGTATATGTAGATTTTATATATTTGCTTCTAGGAATTTTTAGTGTTCATCTTGCTAACTATTTTTTGTTCTGGTTTGCTGTTTAATACTTGTATTCTGATAGATCTTTCTGAGGTTTATTTTCAATTTTATGAGGGCTTCTACAGGTAGCTTCTAGTAGCCCAGCAAAACTTTCTGATGTATGGGTGGTTTACGTTTTCCTTTTCTGCTAATTAGGAACTTGACTGTCCTAACTGGTTTGTGCTTTGTAGAGTTGTTTCCAGTAATCTTCTCTAGTCTAAGGTGAGAGCAGTGAGTAATCAGCAACACTAAGGAGATCTGGAAATTACTGCTCTTTCTTAGATGCTTTCTTTGTTCTGTCGCGCTTTTATCCAATACATTTATTTTTTTAATTGAGATTGACTGACTCCTTAAGTGGACTCTGTCTGGGTAGTGGTTGGTATCCCTCGGATAGTGGCTTAGAAACTACTTAATCATGGGAAGCTGTTAGGATTATAAAGTTCCGTCTCTCTAGGACAGAATGTTTGCCATGATTCTAGTACCTGAAAACTTACTTTATGTTGTTTCTGGTTTTTAAGATAGGAGATATAGAACATCTGCACTCTTTATTCCATCTTGCTCAGATGCAGAGGTTTTAGCAATTTTTAGAGAATAATATTTTTCAGGGCCTGAAAATTGTGAAAATGAGAATTTGTCTGTTTTGTATTGCGGTGACAGAGTACATGAGACTTTATAAAGAAAAGAGGTTATTTAGGTATGGTTCTAGAGACTGACAAACTTAGAGATCTGACACTCCATATTATAAAAGCTCAACATGGACCTCATGGGCACCTGAAAAGAGACAAAACCTGGGTAGTGAACTCTTGTTGCTGCAGATCATTGTCCCAGTAAAAATGTGGTCTATAATGTGAGGTGTCATTCATCCTTCTTAATGACTGGTCAACTCTTCAAGCGGCTTAACTCCTAACACCACCACAGTGGAAATTAAATCTCAATGTAAGTTTTGGTGAGACAGACCAAACTTATACTATAGCAAGGACCAAAAACATCTTATTTATTGGGGACATTATATCAAAGAGCTGTTTATTATGTAGCTGTTAGCATAATCTTACATTTATTTCCAATTGCAGTTTTGCCAAAGTAGTAGCCATTTTGCTCATTTGAATTCAAACAAGTTTTATGTTAAATATGGGTGATAAATTTTTGTCTCTTATTCTCATCCTATTTTCTCTGCCTTTGTTTAGTTTTTACCTCATGTATTATGTTGATTATCAATGTTTTGCATATAGCAGCAGTGCATATACTACTTAGTGATCTTAATGTTAAAGAAATTGAGTGAAAAAGGTGACGGGAGGCGAGCTTAAGAGAATTGTTCAAAGGTTATTTGGGCCTTATAAATCAATATAATAAGTTTTGATTTTGTTATATAAATAGTGACATTTTATGCACTCTGACTTGAGAACAACAAGAAATAATTGAAAGGGCCAGAGAAAGGGTCCTTAAGCAGGTATTACTCTTGCAGAGGAACTGAGTTTCGTCTCCAACATTTGCTCATATCAGGTACCAGGCAGCTCCCAGCCACCTGGCATTCTAGCATTTAGGGGTGTCTGATGGTCTCTCTGGGTACCTACACTATGTACAGACACATAATTAAAAGTAAAATGAAATCTTAAAGAATTTGTGTTTTAAACAGATTTTGCAAATAGATTATAAGGTAAAGCATATGTTGTGGGTTCTCTTGTGATATGAGAGACAAGAGAAAGTGCATTATTTCAAAGTGTCTTTCTTGTAAACATAGTAAGACTTAATAGATTAGATATTAAGATAAACCTGTAAAACAATTTAGCCACTATTCTTTGACAGTTGTTTAGGCTATCATTGATGGTGTCTGTTTCCTTTTCAGGGAAGATAGCCACCTTACACGCCAAAGCAGACAGTATTAGGCAGCAATGTGTAACGTTTCTCCACTACATTAAAGTTTTCATCTTCAGGTAGGAATACAGATGACTAGTTTTCTTACTGCATGGATATCTGTGGGTGTATTTCCACAAACTTGTATATTTATTCTATCTAATGCCTTTTTAGGTGCCTGAAAGTACAAGATGCTAAGAACCAGAATACCTCTCTCCATCCCTATGAGGCTTTGGAAGCTCAGCTTCCTTCAGTGTTGGTTGATGAACTTCGTGGATTACTTCTGTATATTGGACATCTAGCTGAACTTCCCAGTGTTACTCTAGGAGCATTTGTAAATCAAAACCAGATTAAGGTTTGATTAGTTTCTTTTTTAAATTATCCAACATTTTTTTCTCCCAAGAGAAAGAGTATTATGCAAGAATAAGAATTGGTACAAGCATGGCATAAAATGAAACTCTGATCTCCTGTCTTGTTAATTATGTATTTTTTACTATATATGCATGTGCCTCACCTTAGTTTGTTCATTTATGGAATTTATTTAACTTTCAGAACTTATGGGAAGAATTAAATGATTGGCTTGCCTAACGTGCTTAAAACACTACCCTGAATCAATAACTGTTCTCTATTTGAAAGTGTAAATGCTTAGAAATTTCAAATAAAAATTAACCTCTTTGAAATTTCTGTCATTCTCGTCAATAAAGGTTTGGGAAATGCTGTGTCATTTATATATTACAGTAAAATTTAAGAAAACATCTTTTATTTATTTGTTTTAAGACAGTGTCTTAGGAATCTGAGGCTGGCCTTAGTATGCCTTCGACTTCTGATCCCAAGTGTTGGGAGGATTTCACACGGAAGCCGTCATACCCAGTTCATGGAGTGTTGGAAATTGAATCTGGGACTTTATGCTGGCACAGCACACTACCAACTATACCCTTACCCTCAAAGAAAAGTCATCATATGGAAAATCACCATATAGAATTACACTCATGTGATGGAATTTCACATCATATCACAGCTTGATAGTAGAATATCAGGTGCAGTGTTGGGTTCAATCCCTCAAGACTTAAAAGGAAAAAATACACATTTATGTATTCCAATATCTCAAACTTTGTTGGAATATTTTTTTTAAACTATGCCTCTTTTTTTTTCCAGTAGTGATAAACACTCTCAAATTTGATTTTTTTTAAGTGATATTAATAGCACAGTTTAACTCATAGGTAAATAGCAAATTCTCTGTGTGAAAATTGGAGCATAAATGACAAATTATGATAATTTATGTATTCTCTGAACTTTTAATCTCTCCCATTATATTTGAGTTTACTAATATCAATAAGTTTTTAGTAACATGGTACTTGTCAAAATTTTTATATTGGTGAATTTAATAAATAAGAAAAAGAAAATATTGACTTGATTAGAGATCAATATGTAATAATAAGTTCTAAAGCAATTTATAGGTTATTATGTTTAATCTATGAAAAGGAAGTCAGTTACTGCTTTTATAAATTCTGTCCTGATAAGGATACATGGGTAGAATTTGGAGGGTAGTTTCCCTTTCTGGTTTCCATAAGTTAAAGTGCTTATATTTTCTGGATATCCATCAAATGTATAAGAGAATAAACATGGATAACTTGTTCGCTAGCAGAAAGAAGCCTTTATGTGCAAGAGTCTTTATCTGAGCTTTTGTGGACATTTTGATTTGGGCATCTTGAAAAATAGTTTACTTGAAGTCTAGAAGACTAAATATTAAAGCAGGAGAACATCTTAAAATATATACCAAAATACTGTCCCGTAATAAAATATTCTTTTAAAAACTTAAAATTATATATATTACATATATATTATATACAGTATGCCATCTTTCTTACATATGAAAAGCATTATTTTAGCTACTATTTCCATTATAGATATTATTAAGCATTTTGTATCACAGTTTTTTAAATTTTTCTTTGTTTCTTTATCATTAATTAATTTGACTTTCCAGATAGGTGATTGGTGTGTGTGTGTTGGGGGGGTGCTATATATGTTTTTTGTTTTTTTTATGCTATTTGTGCTATTAAAAATACTTTGACTTTTACATTTGTGGCTACAATTCATCTCTTTTGCTTTATGTAGGAGGCAGGGTGCTAAAGAGATGCCTCAGAGGTTAAGAGCCATGAGGCTGCTCTTTCCAGAAGACTGGGTTTGATTTCCAGAAACCATGTATTGGCTCAGAAACATCTGTAACTCCAGTTCCAGGGGATGTCTCTTGGTCTCTGCGGTCACTAGGCATGCACATGGTGCATATATATACATGTAAACAAAACACCCATACGCATAATAATTAAAAAAATATGTAGGGAGTTAGTAAATCTGATAGTAGTTTCTGCAAATGGATGTGACATTTTCCTCATTGATTTGAAATGTTTTATTTATCTCTTTCCTGTTCCTTCTGCTTGTTATCTCTCCCTGTGCCACTGTTAGTCTAGCATTTTTGTGTTTGTATATTTGATAGAGAAAACCATCATTTTTGTGTTTGTATATTTGATAGAGTAAACCATCATTTTTTCTGAGTTCAGTGGAACTTGTTAATGTCATTGTATTGTTTTCCAGTGATACTCAGTGTTTACCTGTGATGACCAGTACAGCACAGAGCTAAAGTTTTTCATTTGAGTTTGACAGAATTGAGTTTGAGTGCTCAATTGTGGATTGAGAGAGAAAATTCTTCATCTTTGTCGCCTTGCATTTCTTTATGAGAATGACCGTATAGTTGGCATGATGATCTGGTTCCTGTGCACTCACTTCATTAAAGGATATTTCTTAGCTAATTTCTAAAGCAAAAACTGTATTTTAAGATTCCTTTATAGCCTTCCCACTAAGCAGACATAGTGGTTGGTTGAAAGGGGTCTGCACTGTCCCAACCTATTTAGCCATCTCTATAATGTATCTGTATTAAACCAGCAAGTAAAAATGTATCATTTCAAGGCTCTTCAGTGAAAGAATTTGTCTCTAATTATGACAATTTTTTTTTCCAGTCTTTGGATGGGTAATTGGTTCTTTGTGTGAATGGAGGAGTTTTGTGATGTGGTACAAAACACCTAGTAAAGTATAAACTTTTACTACTAATATGTCATTCACAGCTCTTCCCGCCATCGTGGCATTTATTGCATCTCTACTTGGATACCCACTGGCTGGTGCTGGAAATACTTCACATGCTGGGTGAAAAATTGAGTAAGTTTATGGTTTCTGCCATTAAAATCCTAACTTTCGTTGTTTTTTAAAATGAAATTAGCCAGCTGAATACCATGGCATATAGTCTGTAATCCCCGTTCTTGTGAGGCTGAGGTAAGAGAATTATGAGGCCAGCCTGGATTGAATGATGAATTTTGGGTTGGCCTGTGTTATGAAGAGAGACCCTGTTCAAAAGAAAATAATTAAATTGTAAGTACTTATGTCATTTTTTAAAAGTAAATAGGTAATGTTTATCCCCCATTTTCTCCCAGAGTGTCCATCAGTCATGCCCCAGATAAGTGGAAATCGCTCCATCAGTTTATTTTTCAGTCTGTGATCTGTTGGTATACATGTATTCATTTTTGTTTATAACTGGTATGGTTTTACTTTTCATTATGGTTTTTCATTTAGCAGATTGTGTATGTGTGTTACATGTCTGCTGCAGTCTGTTTACACTTGTGGCATGTATAGTGACTAGAGACAGCATCAAAAATTTCCACCTTATTCTTCTAGGCCTCTTATTTTTGGTTTTTCAAGACAGAGTTTCTCTGTTTCCTGGCTGTCCTGGAACTCACAGAGATCCAACTGTCTCTGCCTCCTGAGTGCTGGGATTAAAGGTTTAGGCCATCATTGCTTGACTGAGACAAGGTCTCTTACTAATTGGACTTGAACTTGCCATTTTGACTAAACTCACCTGCTGCAAGCAAGCCCTCAGGATCTTCCCTAGTGCTGGATAATAGGCCCTTGCTGCCATATCCAGTTTGTACTTGGATGTTGGGAATCAGAGTAGGATTTCTGTAGTGATACAACATCTTTTTAGAAATCTGTTTGGGAAAGAACATGTGGTTCAGTTGTACCGAGACTTGTGTTACAGCTGCATTGCACTAATTCAGCTGTGTCTCTTTTTAATAGTAGTTCCTGGATTCAGTTATAAGTGTTTCCCAGAAGATACATACAAATATACCTTTAATCTGTGTATTTTCTATAAAATATTTCCTTAGACATAGAATCAAATATTGAAGTTTAGATGTTAATTTTAGAATGTGCCTTTTCTTCAGACCCTTGTCAGTAATAGACTAATGTACTGCTGATACATGAAAAACAATGCCAAATATCTTGTTTTATTCCAGGGTTTTCTGGTTATCACTTAACTTCAACATCTTTAAATAATTTTGATTTTCTTTTGTAAATTTTCTAACTTTCTTAGGACTTTGTGTATATGCATAGTAATCTTAGATTTCAAATGCTGTATATTCATTTTTTGTTGTATTTTGTCTTTTTTTTTTTTTTTTTTTTTTTGGAGATGGGGTTTCACTATTTAACCCTGGCTGACCTAGGAGACCTCAGTATGTAGACCAGGCTGTCCTGCTGTCCTGTGACTGAAAGAGATCCACTAGCTTCCACCTTTGGAGTTTTGGGATTAAAATGTGCCACTACACCCAGCAAATGCTGTGGGTTTTGTTTTTTTTTTTTCTTTTTATCTTGCTGCTTGGCAGTTTAGGTTTCAAAGACGTATATATGTCAGTACCTACTTTTAATTATGTATATGTCTATATACATAGACATAAAAACAATAATTTACAGATTTATAATTATTATTTTAAATATATTTAGAATAATATTCAAGTGGATACATTTTGTAGATACAAGTTTTGGTTATTGTTTACCTTGGTTTGCTCTGTTTTATGCTTCGAAGCAATTGCAAGTGGTGATCACACTGGCCTCAGTTAAAAGACTAATGTTTCAGCTTCTTTGTTTTTAGAATCTTTGTAGATGAGAACTGGTGATTTTCTTTTATTTTAAAGCGACAGAGCAGTAAGCTTTTCAAAGACGGCCTCATTAATACAAAAGAAGTTAATTAAACTGAATATTGAATTGGAAAAGATTTTTTTTTTAGGTAATGCTTGGACCTATAAGCAGTTATTCTCAAATTTAACTGTGTTTTACTTTAGAAAAAATTGAAGAGGTAAGATCATTTTTTTTTCTTGTGAGAATTAATTGATTAAATTAATTAATTAAATCTGAGGTTTTAAAGTAGAATTTATTTTATTTTGTAGAACAAGTTGTCTATGGTTGTCAGTTTATAAGTCAGACTGGTGAAAGTTTAACCAATGTCAGCCTATTTGAAGAACATTGTGAAAATCTTTTCTGCGACTTACTAAATCTGGCACTCAACAGATATGACAAGGTAATGCTTTAAGAATTATTGATGTTTTACTGGCAATAATCCTTAATATGTGGTTTAATATATAAGAATTTGAAGTGGTTTCCTTGTTTCAATTTTTTGTTTTGTATTTGGTTACTAGTATCTGGTAGCTAAATGGGATGAGAATGTAAATGTTTACATTTGATAAAATGTTTACATGTATATATTGATATGTGTATGTATGTTTGATAGAAATGTTTACAATAGGCTGGAATTCATCTTTCAAGTTAACTTTTAAAGTGCTACATTAAAATACAAATTTAGGACATTTTAATGAGGTGCCATGTTTTAATAAGCATATGCATTACATAATGCTTGAGTTAAGTTAAACGTTTTTCAAATCTTTATTATTATGGTAAAAACATTGTTCAAAATACATTGTTCTAGCTTTTCAAAATATTTAGTGTGTAACTATAATTACTGTGTACAGCTGTGTACTGGAACTCCATATTCCTGCCTAACTGTAGCATGAAGCATGTTTATTTTGCCTTATAACATGCAAATTTATTTCTAAGTTTCTGTCAGAAATCTCCCTCCCTCCCTCCCTCCTTCCCTCCATCCTTCCCTCTCTCCCTCTCCTCCCCATTTGTGTGTGTGTGTGTGTGTGTGTGTGTGTGTGTGTGTGTGTGTGTATCTTAGATGAAACTGACTGAGGATCAAAACAGGAGTTGTGTAAAGAATGTTGTACTAGAAAATACTTTTGCCAGTGTTCCTTTTACTTTCTTTAGTTGCTGTTATACTGCTATGCTGATTTTAGTAGTCCTGACAGCTTTTTCCAACAAAGTCTTAAATGTGTACTGCTGAACCCGTGCTTCAAAATATTTTTTGTGTTTGTTCTTTTAGCTGAAAATCAGGGTTGTTGTGTACTTTGGTTGTAATGGGAAACTTTCTTTTAAAAAGTTAAGGAAATGACACTTTTTCTTAAACTGAGAAAACATTTTAACTCTATAACAATTAGCTATGTGGGCCGGGCGATGGTGGCACACGCCTTTAACCCCAGTATTTGGGAGGCAGAGGCAGGCGGATCTCTGTGAGCTCGAGGCCAGCCTGGTCTACAAGAGCTAGTTCCAGGACAGGCTCCAAAGCTACAGAGAAACCCTGTCTCAAAAAACAAAAAACAAAAAACAAACAAACAAAAAATTAGCTATGTGACGTGTAAATAGCTCTTTCTTTTTGCAGGTTAGATCTTCTGAAGCATTAATGATTAATCACTGCTCATGCTCCTGTGTTAAGGAATTATGGGTTCTACTTATTCATCTTCTAGACCACAGAAGTAAATGGTCAGTTTCAGAAGTAAGTTGGGAAAATTGATATTTGGTTGTTGTGACTATTTCATATATTGAATTTCTATACGTAGAAGAATGGCTACTCAAATCACACACAGTATTGTTTGCATAGTTGGGTATTCTCCTAGATGAGCCTGTATCTTCCAGAGAATGTACAATAATAGAATACATAAGGAAGTTTGTTGTAAGAGATTGACTAGGACTGTTAGAGAAGCTGGTCCTAGGATGTATAGATGGGAAACTGGAGACCTAGGAGAGCTGACTACACAAGTTACAGTCTGAGTCGAAAGGCTTAAAAGGCAGAGGGGTTCTTCTCTGAGTGCTCTTCTAAGGGAAACTGCAATTCCTGACTTCACCTCAGAAAAGTATTTTTGGATGAGTCAGTCAGTATAAAGCAGAGTTGGAGTTAAAAGTTGTGGGGTTTTTTTTGTTCTTGTTTTTTATAATTACATCATTTCCTCCCTCAAACAAACCCTCTCATCTCCTCTCTACGCCCCTGAATCTCATTCAGATTCACATCCTCTTTTTATTATGTGTTAATTTGTGTGTATTGGTGATTTTCTCTGGGGAAGGCTGTTTTTCCCACTCTTACTATTCCGTAGTTGCTTGTAATTCTTTCTGTAGTGTTGAAGCCTCCTGAGCATTTCCTTCCACATTAGCATGTCTCTTGGTGCCATTCTTGATCAGCTGTGTTTAGCAGCCATGTTGGTGACACAGCCAGATTTCTGTTTCTGTGACCCTTATCTTCACCATCCCCTTCTGAATTGATCCCTGACCCTTAGGTACCATAGTTTGTTGTAGATATTATCAGATGGGACTGTGATCTACCACTTTGCAGTGTGGTCAGTTGGGGTTTTTTCTATGGTCTTCAATTATAAGTTTCTCTGAGGAGAGTTGAGAGCTGCATGTATCTGTGGGAGGAAGGACAGCCTTTTAGACTGTAGTTTGGTAATGTGCTGACTTAGATGAGTGACAGTTGTAGTTTCGTCTTAAGATTCATGAGTGCACTAGCCTAGAGAAGTTGGTTAGGTTTCCAGTACCAGATGTGATTTCCTTCTTGAGCGGGTCTTATAAGTTCAATTAGAGAGTTGTTGGTTGCTGCCAAGGTATAATTGCCACTACTGCACCTTTATGGTCATTACCTGTTCATTGTTGTTCATATTTGTTGTGACTGGTAGAACTATTGGTTACTTCCCTCTGTTAGGAACTTGAATGGAACCTTCTGGTATCATGAAAGCTAGTCCTCAGGGAGGGCGCTCCCAGGTCAGATGAACTTTGGATTATCTGCCCCCTGTGTTTCAAGATGTAGTGTTCAGTAGTGATGTACCTTTTCTCTTGAGGTAGGGGACAACCTAGGGCAGTAGCAAAAGCATAAATGATTTAGGAGTCCTGGACAACCCTGACCAACAGCTCAAATGAGGGTTTTTATGCCTAGTGTTGGGTCTTCTTGTTTGTTTGGTCACATGCTGTATTAGTCAAGACTCTCTAGAGAAACAGAACTGATAAAATTAGTCTCTGTGTAAGAGTGGGATTATTAGAGTGGCTTACATGTTATGGTCCAACTATTCCAGCAATTGCTATCTCCCGATGGAAAGTTCATGAATCCAGTAGTTGTTCAGTCCAAGAGTCTGGAAGTCTGTCTCAACTGGTTTCAGTATGTGCCAGATTCCAAAGTAGACATGCGTACAAGTGGGGGAATAAAATTGCCAGCAGGAGTGAGGGCAAGCAGACTAGAGCAAGAGCTCTTTACCATGTTTATATAGGCTTCCAAAATTTAAGGTAGATCTTCCCACCTCAAAAGATCTGGATTTATGGTGGATCTTCCTACTTCAAATGATTCAGTCAAGAAAATCTCTTACAGGTTTACGCATCTGCTTGGGGCTTAGTTAATTCTAGATGTAGTCATATTGACTACATCTACCTCTGTAACATGGAGGGCCGGTTTGTTGGGGTATCTGTCCCGTCCAGTACCCCACAGCCGGCAAAACCCAAAGAAAATCATACACAGGACTCCATAAGATTATAAACTGATTGGCCTATTAGCTCAGTCTTCTTATTAACTAATTCTTACATCTTACAGTAACCCATAATTCTACTCTGTGTTAGCCATATGGCTTGGTACCCTTTTCAGCTGTCAGCTCACATGTTGCTTCTTTGGTGGTCTGGGCAGGAATGGCAGAGGGAGCTTCCTCCTTCCTAGCCTTCTCCTGTTCTCATTGCCCCACCTCTACTTCCTATCTGGTTGACCTGCCTATACTTTCTGCCTGGCCAATCAGCATTTTATTAAAATACATGATTGACAGAATATCGACAATTCTCCTGCACCATACCTCTTGTCAGCTTGACACACAGTCATATCTCCTTATGGCACAATTATCCTAAAATGATATAACTAACCATGCAGAACATCAAACACATTATATATTTTAGAATCAGTGCCAGTGTGCCTTGAGGGACATTCTTTTAGTTCCTCAAAACTTGAAGTTGATAAATACTGATGTTCTCTCAATTGATGTTCCCTTACATGATAAAGAAATCAAGGAAAAAATACAAATCTGCACAAACACATCTTAACAATATGACAGACACATGTCAGTTCTGATCCTCATTTCTGCAATTTGAACTTAACTGATACTTTTAACTACCTTCCTTGATTACAGTCTATATTTCCTCCATCTTCAGCAAGAACCTCAGCAGATTCCTACTCTGGAGGAGTGACTCATACTTTTTTCCTGAGGAATCTATTACCTTTGTCATTCTGCCTAGATTAGGTTATTGTAGCTTCCTGTTGACTTTAGTCACATTCACATGACATAGTAACATCAAGAGATGCCGTAACGATCTCCTGCTCTCCAAAATAATCTTTCTTACCTCCATTGTGAAAAAGCAATCCAATTTTGCCTTGGTAATCTGGATCAATCAACCTTCATAACACTATTACTCCCTTCTTAGCCTATTGGCTTAAGAACATCAGAAGCCCAAAATGGCCAAGGGGAAATCTGACCTTCCATTGTAGTGTAGTTTTTCAATGTTTGTTTTCTCTCCTGGCAGGAGCACTCCCTTTGTGGAGTCAAAACTACCCCTATTTATAGATGATATGGTGTTTATATATATACATAAATACTAATATATATATAATATATATATGTAACAGACTCAAATTTCTATCAGAAAACTTCTAGAAAAGATAAATAAATTCAGCAGTGTTAGGATACAGCATAAAAAATAGAGTATACCAACAACAAAATCAGAGAAAGAGACTATGGATACACTCTCATTCACAACAGCCTAAAGGAAAAATATATCTGGTATAGGTGTGTCTTTCCTTAGTTTGGAAAATTTCTCTTTGCTGATGATCTGGTCTGTGCCATTGATTTGGGATACTTCTCATTATTTGTGCCTATAATTTGAAGGGTTTTTTTTTTTTTCATGGTTACCCTCATTGCCTGTATGTTCCTTTCTATCAGAACACAGTTCAGGAATGGAGTTGTGTGGGGAGAATTCTGAGTGCTCTTGAAAAATAGGTAGCATTAAAAGTGGGAATATAGATCTCTTTATTAGGTGTTGTAGAAAGTCATTTCTCCAAAGATTAATTGGAACATAAGTAACATAGGCTGTAAGACTGACATTATGCCTTCTGGACCTATGTATTATAATTTTGTAGCACTTTGTTAATCTCCTTAGAGCTCATAGTTCTCAACCCTATTAGGGTTGAATTCACCTCCATAACAGGCCATTGGGAGGGCTATTCTTCTATGGTTATAGTAGAGAGACATCAGCTCCAGAATGAATTAATCTTGTAAAAGTTTTTTTCTTTTATTTTTAAATCCGATATGGTTTTATCATTTTCCTTCAATAAAGTACTTAAAGCTACAGTTGATTTCTGTACTACTGAGTCTGCCCCTCGTGAAGTGCATTTTTCCATGATGGGGCTACATGAAGCAATAATAATAATTGTGCAGTGTTTTCTTTAAATTGCCAATCAGTGGGCAATTTGATCATGACTACTTGTTCTATATAATCTTCATCAATGATTCTTGTATGAACTATGACTCTTCATGGGTAAGCTACAACCCAATAAAAATCCGATTATTCCAGACAGAACATTGTCCACAAAAGAAAATTGAAGAGGGAGGGATGGCAGTATTTTTAGGGCAATCAATATCAATAGCAGCACTTCTTAAATAGTAGCTTGTAATGAATGAATAGATTGACTACATTCTGCAGCTGGCACAAATGGTATTTTTTTTTTTTTTTTTTGCTTAAACCCTCTAATTTTATGGGCCCCGAGGAGGAATCCTCAATCTATTTCCCTATGTTGACTTGTATTATTATTGTTTCTAGGTAATGTATTGGCACCTTTATCACATTTAGATTGGGCATTCCTTAGCCCAATGTTTTCTTGCTAAAAATCAAAGACCTCTTTGATTCTGAACATTCATTTGTTATAAGGACAGTTTACATTGTTTATTTAAGTGACCAGGTCTGCCACAATTGAAACATTTTTCAGACATCTGTCTTTGAACCACATAGGTTTCTAAAACAGCCAACGTTGCTGTTTGTAGGTCCCTCGTTTCTACATAAATTCAGAAAGTCTGAAACGTGTTTCTCTTATTATTCCTTGGCAATCTTCATTGACGTTATAAAAACTGTTTTAATAACTTGAATTTGTTCCCTGTTTACTTGCTTTTCAATAGCATCAAGTCTCCCTTTCAAATCCATATAAGGCTTAGAGGGACCTTGTGTAATTCTTATATAAGCTAGACCTGAAATCAGATCCCCTATCAGTTTTCATGTAGGAGGGCTACAGGAGCATTAAGCAACTGATGGTCTGTTGATGCCCATATATCTACCAATCCCTGTCAGCATTTCAGATGTGTCATTTCCAGGATTGCCCCTTGGTTCTAGTTGTTGAGATTTTGTATGGGCTTATTTACAAGCTACATTTGCCGTTGTAGAAACCGGGAAGGGCTGAGGATCATTTTAGCAATTGCATGACAACTGTTG